AAAAAAAAAAAAAAAAAAAAAAAAAAAAGGAAGTAATTTATATGATAAACTTGAAGCCCTTCCCATCAATTTCCTCCCTTCCGACCTTAGAACTTTAGTAGTTATTATCATGCATATTTTATGCTATTGGATACAAGTATGTATTTGCAAATAACATTTAATATTATATTGAGCTGTCAAAAGTCTATGGAAGTGGTTTGATGTGGTACATATAATTCTTCAGCTTAATGCTTTTTTTTGGGTACTGGGGCTCGAACTCAGGACCTTGCGCTTGCAAGGAAGGCAGTGGAACCACTGAGCTTAGTCCCTGGCCCTCAGCTTTATGATTTTGAGATTAAATGTACACATTCATTTTTACTGAGGTATGTTATTCCATTGTACAAATATTCTACCATGTATTTTTGTGTTCTCCTGTTGATAGTTTGCTTGCAATTTTGCACCATTATAAATGATACCAAACTTTCTTGTTTACTGTCTTCTTGTGTACATGTGCAGGCATTTCTCTAGAGTATGTCTCTTATCAGTGGAACTGCTGACGTATAGGATATGAGTATGCAAGTTTCTTTTTAAGCTCTGAAAAATTTTAACTTTAAATAGATATTCCAGAAAAACAAAGTTTTTTCAAATTCTGTATGATTGGTTTTCACTAAGAATTAGATTCTGATTTGGCTGGAAGGCATAAGAGCAGTTGCCACTTTTCCATTCCCTCACTCTAACTCGTGCTGAAATGATGGATGGATTTACCATAAAAAAAATCTGCTTAGCACCTTAGCACCTAGAGATTGCCATTGTCAGTAAGTCCCCGTTTTTTTGTTTTTTTTTTCCGAGACAGGGTCTTGCTATATAGTTCAGGCTACTAACTGTGTAGCCCAGCCTGGCTTCTAATTTATGGCACTCCTTCTATCTCCACTTCCTGAGTGCTGAGATTATAGGTGTGTGCCACCACACCCCTGGCTAAATCCCATGTTTTATCAGGCATAATATTTTATGGCTCCAGAGACCTGCATAGAGAGGTGTGATTGTCCTGTTGTCCAAAGGTTAGGCATCTTACTGCTTCCATTTGTTCTAATATTGTTTTCAGCCTTTTGACATTTTTCTCTAGGTATTTGCTGAAAGCAAGGATGAGATTGCTTTAGTTCTGTTTGGAACAGATAGCACTGACAATGCCCTTGCTGCTGGGGACCAGTACCAGAATATCACAGTGCACAGACATCTGAAGCTGCCAGATTTTGATTTGCTGGAGGACATTGACAGCAGAATCCTACCAGGTTCTCAACAAGCTGACTGTATCCTTTTTCAGCTGTAGAAGATTTAAGAAATTTCTTTTAATCTGGGAGTCCCACTTCTGAGTATCTGGGGATGTTTTACTCTGAGGACAGAGATTTTTATTAGGATTTAATGTGAATGTTAATCAGGTTGGATCCCTGGGCTCTGGAGCTTTCAGTCACTTGTCCCCTCTCTGCATTAGTGACATTAAGAGTTGGGAGGCATAGGAAGGGGAAGATATTAGTCTATGTGGCATTGTCTGTATGTAGCAAGAATGGTTAGAAATGTTGGGAGCTAGAGAAAAGATATTTTTAGAAAAGTATAGCATTAGCATTCCCCACCCTGTCATGGATAGAAGGTACTTTTGTGCCAAAAATCAGATTGATAGTCAAACTGAGAGTCCCAATTTCTTCTACAGGAGCCCTAATTTTAAAGATTTACTCTTTCTTTTTCCAGTTAGTAGTTCCACTTGTGATCACTGGGAGGTGCTGCTGTACTGGGAGTCACTGCTTATTTAAGAATGGACTATGATAGCCAAAATGTGTTGTAGATACTAACAAATGGCTTCAAAAATTTTGCTTACATAAATGTAATGTGTTAGATTACATTTTATTATTTATTTTAGTACACATTGTGTGTGTCAGGATGCATGCTTTGATATATAGCATTTGTGAATATATGTTAATGAAATTAGAGGGTTCTTGGGCATGTGCTTTTAAGTCATCGCATATTCCAGTGTCTATAATTGTTATAATTCCAGTGTCTGTGCACTTTGCTGGGAAAAAGTGGCACATTCATGAGAGGTAGTGCTGTCTCTATCCTTAACTAGCTGAGTCCTGGATGCACTAATTGTGTGCATGGATGTGATTCAACGTGAAACTGTGTAAGTGTCTCACCTGAGAAAAACTGGAAATCAGCCTTTCTACAGAAATTGTGGATTGATGTAGTCAGTGAACTGTATGATTTTTTTTTGTCATTTGGGTTGTATATTTTTGTTGCTAGAAGAACATCTGAGAATTCAGTGTTTCAACCTCTTTATTTTATTTTTTATTTAAAATTTTTTTTGGTACCAGGGATTGAACTTGAATCCTTGTGTTTGCAAGGCAGGTGGTGGAACCACTGAGCTAAATCCCTGGCCTCCAACCTCTTTATTTTTTAAAAGCTTAAAAAGAGAAAGGGCTATATTTGGTGGGAATTTCTCTGGGAGAAATACAAGTTTCCTTCTTTGTTTTGTTTTTGGTACTGGGGATCAAACTCGGGTCCTTACGCTTGCAAGGCAGGTGGCAGGAACACTGAGCTAAATCTTCAGTCCCCCTTCTTTCATAATTATCAGTAATTTAAAAAAAATACTAAGTGGGGACTGGGGGTGTGGTTCAGTGGCAGAGCACTTGCCTAGCATGCATGAGACCCTAGTTTTGATCCCTAGCACTGTAGAAATGAAAATAAAGTGATAAAAGTAAAATTAAATTAAAAAATAAAAATACTAAGTGATACGATCCATAATAGTTGCTATTCACGGCATAGTATTGTGGCTAACTTCCTAACCCATTATTTATTTAATTGTTGTGCCATGAAAATATATGTCTTTGAACATACATGCACACATACTGCTCAGTAACCAAGTGTATTTGATTTTTTTAAAAAAACAATTCAGGAAAAAAATTTTTTTTTCTTTTTGTGGTACTGAGGATTAAATAGCCTAAAGCCTTCACACTGAGTTATATATCTAACTTTTTAACAATTTTTAATTTGAGACAGAGTCTCATTAAGTTGCCCAGACGGGGCTTCAATTTGCAATCTTCCCTCAGCCTCTCAGAGTGCTAGGATTATAGGTGTGTGTTATACTTGACTTTAAGAGAATGGTTTCTTTTTTTTTTTTTTTTTTTTTGGTTTTTTGAGACAGGAAAACTATGTGGTTGAGACTGACCTGGAACTCACTATGTAGCCCAGGCTGGTTTTGAACTCACAGTGATCCTCCTGCCTCAGCCTCCCAAGTGCTGGGATTACAGACGTGAGCCACCACGCCTGGCCTAAGAGAATGATTTCTTAATGTGATAATTCTCTCTTTTAGGGGAAAGAAGTTTGAGAAGAGGAATATTGAAGTGTTCACTGACCTCAGCAGCCCATTCAGCAAAGATCAGCTGGATATTATAATTCATAACTTAAAGAAATCTAGCATCTCCCTACAATTCTTGTAAGATCCTACAAATAATGTATATAGACATATCCTTAATGGGAGTGGACCCTTTATAGAGTGCTCAGTTCATAGAAGTCTCTTTCACTTGAATCAGAATCTGTCACATGGCTGACTACTGATTTATTGATTATTCTCTGCGTTCTAGAAACTTCTGAGTTTTGGTGATGAGATGATAGATATGCGAGAATTGAGCTCAATGTCAGATCATTACATTGTGTGCTGGGTTTTTTTTTTTTTTTTTTTTTTTGTACTTTTCTCAGTCTTACACCCCTAGCAAAAAATTCTTTTTACTGTACTTATCCTTCTTGCTGCTTTTAAATCCTTTTTTGGGGGGGTACCAGGGATTGAACTCAGGACCTTGTGCTGGCAGGTGACAGAACCACTGAGCTAAATTCCTGGCCCCCAAAACCGTTTTTTTTTCCTTGTCCTATTTTAAATGAAAGAAAAGGGATAGTATAGGAGTATAGGATGTTGAATTATTAATCTGGGGACACTTATTACTCAAATTGAGAACTATATCAAGAAGTCTGCGACTCAGTGTGGTAAGCCTTTGGCTTTTTAAAATGCCTGCTTTGAGGAATTGAGAACCTCTTTTGCATGTATGTGCCTCTTAAGACTGCTGAGGGACATCTCCTTTCTGTAGAACTATAGAAAAAGAGTACAGAATAACCCATCAGACTGATACTTGTTAAAATGGTACTTCAGAGAAATTAAGTGCTTTTAAGTGACACTTCTTATTGAGTTGAGGTTTTCTCAGTACTTCAGAAGCCTGGCTCAGCTTCTGTTCCCTGTTTGTGATCTCAGGATGTCTTCATGTGGTTGAAGCATACTATACTGAGCTGTCAATGTCATTTGAAAGGGCTGCTCTTTTTTTTTTTTTTAATAAGTAAATGAAGAAAAAAGAAGGTAGCTTTTTCTTCTTGCTTGTTATTTGACCAGTTTTATTTTTTTCTTGGGTAATACGTTTCCTTCCTGTGCTAAAAACTGCCAGCATACAGAGTTTATGCTTTTTTCTTTTTTTTTGGTACTGGGGATTGAACTTGGGTCCTTGTGCTTGCAAGGCAGGCAGCAGAACCACTGAGCTACATCCCCAGCCCCAGAGAGTTTATGCTTTTATTGTTTAGTATGTTCTAAGTTGGATTAAAACAAAGACTAGTAGCACAAAGAAGCACTGTATTCTGACTAGGCTTGTTCCTTAGACTTGATCTAGTCCCCAAGCTGTCAATGACTCCTACTTTTATTTGAATTTGAGAAGAGGATTAAACACGGAGTCCCTATGTAGAGTTAGGTAATGTGATCTTGTCTTGGTTATCACTATTGCTATAACAAAATACCTTCAACTGAGTAATTTATGAACAAAAGAAATGTATTTCTCACATTTCTGGAGCTGGCAAGTCCAGGATCACAGTGCCAAAGCAGATTTGGTTTCTGGTAAGGGATCTCTGCTGCCTGTTCTGTGTACCCAGGTGGCAGAAGGGCAGGAGGGTGCTCTCTTTAGTCTCTTTCGTAAGGCTACTGTTTAGAATTCTGAGACTCTGTCATCATGACTTAATCACCTTTGAAAGGTCCTGCCTCATAGCATCTCATTAATGACTAACTTTTAATCTGCATTTTGGGGGGCATATAGCTCAGCTTGAGTGTATTCAGAGACTATAGGGAAGAGGCTATTCTGAGAAAGTGAAGCCAGTATATGGACACATGAAGGCACAGTACTCAGAGATAGTGAAAGGGTCAGACATATGGCATTTGAGACCCTTGGTGTGGTTACCCCAAGTCCATATATAACCCTGCTTTTTCAGTTAATTTGGTTTTGTAAGCCAATGCATTTCCCCTTTTTACCATATCAAAGAGGTTTCAGTCACCTGAAACTGAGAGAATACAGTATTGGCTAAGGTAGGTAGGTATCATTTGACAGATGAGAAATACGAAGCTTTGTAACATTTGTCTGACATGTTCATTTTCTCATAGATAGTGAGTGACAGTCATAGGATTGGAACCTACTTTATTTTTGCCCCAGAGCCTGTCTTCTTAACAACTGCTGGTCTTTTCCTGATAGTTTGCCTTTCCCTGTTGGCAAGAAAGATGGAACTGGAGACAGAAGAGATGGCAACTTGTACTTGGGTGACTGTGGGCCCTCTTTTCTTCAAAAAGGAGTCACTGAGCAGCAAAAAGAAGGTATACAGATGGTGAAAAAGGTGATGCTCTCTTTAGAGGGAGTCGATGGGCTGGATGAAATTTATTCCTTCAGGTAAGAAGTGAAAACACAACTTTTAATTATATCCACGTAATTTTTTTTCAAGTTCCAGAGATCTGTGTAATAAACTCCAGAAAATCAACATGATTTCATGCAGAGAAGTATTTCTTGGTTAAGTGTAAAATTGTGTGGGTAGCTTTTAAAAGACCTTCATTCTAAGCAGCTTGATAATGAAACATTTCACTTAGAAGTTTGGACTTTCTTCAATTTGCTATAATCGACACTCACTGGGTAGAACTTATATTGCACATGGGGACCCAGTTTGTTCCAGGGTTCTGAGTTACTCTTCCTGACATCTGAGTTACTCAACCGACATCTGGATTGAACAGTGCCAGATGTGTCAAATACAGTGCTGCTCCACTATATCCTGCTCTAATAAACTTGAAAAGGGGGACCAAGCTAGGATGCTTCTTGGCCTGATTGATGATATGGTGGAGCATGTTTGCAGCAGAGCACTACAACCCAAATGGAAAAAAACAAACCTCCATAAAATTTTTTTTTTTTTTTTTTTTTTTTTTTTTGGTTTTTTGAGACAGAGTCTCACTATGTAGTTCAGACTGCCCTGGAACTCACTGTGTAGCCCAGGTTGGTCTCGAACTCACAGTGATCCTCCTGCCTCAGCCTCCCAAGTGCTGGGATTACAGGTATGTGCCACCATGCCTGGCTTCAGCCAAATTATTTTTAAAAGGTGAAATCCCTGAAGTACCATATAACAATAAAACAAACTTTTATCTATCTGTAGAGACAAGAGAAGTGACTTTCTCTTTTGTTAGTCTTATTGTTAATTAGATTAGATATTGTTTATTCTGAGCAGAGAACCTGAGAGGGCTCAAAAACTATGTGTTAGCTTTTTATCACTGTGACAAAATACCTGATAAAATCAATTTAAAGGAGGAGAGCTTTTTTTTTTTTTTTTTTTAGTACTGATTGTGGAACTCAGGTCCTTGCCCTTGTGAGGCAAGTGGTGGAACCACTGAGCTAAATCCCTGGCCCATTTTTTTTTTTTTTTGGAGGAAAGGTTTATTTTGGTTCCATTTTCATTCTGTGGTCTGCCAGCTCCATTGTTTTAGGTCTGCAATGAAGCAATGGAAATATGGCTGAAAAGCATGGTGGAGGAAAGGTACTTATCTTGTGGCAATTGAGAAGCAGAGACAGAGGGAAAGAGCTTTAGTAAAGGGGGCCCGGGACCAGGTATAGTCCCCAGCATCACACCTCTTTCAACTGGGCCCCACCTCCTATTTCCATCCCTCTCCAGGATGACCTGAAATTATGATCTCATCAGTGAATTGGCCCACAGATGAAGTTAGAACCCTCATGATCCAATCACTTCTGAAAAGCCCATATCAACCAATCTTCAACTCAGTGAGCCTCTTGAGGGACATCTAAGACCTGAACCATAACAACAGCATCTAGAATAGTGTGTGTTTGAGAGCTATGATTTGGCAAAAGTGGCAAATACTTTACCAAGCAGAATGGGTTGTGTGTATTCAGATTTTCAGAGAGAATACTTCTTGATGTTCATGAATTAATTCTGATTTGTCTAGCTATACAAAAGATAGGGGCCAGGGATTAGCTCAGTGGTTCTGCTGCCTGCCTTGCAAGTGCAAAGACCCAGGTTTGATCCCTGGTACCAAAAAACACAAAAACAAAACACAGTTTAAGCAAAGTTCTCAGTTGAAGGAAAGATTGAACAACTAGAGCTTTTTGAGTAGCTGTGATATATATCTGCTCTAATTTTTTTGTAACTATAATTTTAATTATTTCTGGTGAGCTGTAATTGACAAATAATACATCCCGATTTTCTAAGTATAGATATTCTTGAAAAATTATATGTAAATTTTGGAAATAGGATTGTAATTTCCCAAAAGGTTGCCAACGGAATCAATGAGGAATCCTAATGAAGTAAAGCTTCTTAGCATAATATGTGTTCTTGTCACAATATGTACAGATAAATGTTCCTATGTTATTTCTTTCTAATTTGGGAATACATATCTTAAACTAACATATTAGTCATGATAATATAAAGAAAAATTATATACCGGTGTAAATTAGTATTTAAAAGGGGTTCCCCCCCCCATAGCGTATGGTTAGGATGGAGTGGTGGTTAGGATGGAGTATGAACTTAATTGGATTTGATATCCATTTGGGTGATTGGTGGAACAAACTTCTGGGTGTGTCTAGATAGACCTTGGAGTTGTGGCCTTGAGGTCTACGTCTTGTCCTTTGCCCCTGCCTTTCTGGTGCTGCTCCCCTGCTCTGCTTCTTAGCCACCATGAACTAAGCAGCTTGCTTTCATACATTCTTCTGCTATGATGTTCCTGTCTTGGAGTCTGCTGACCATGTACTGAATCCCATGAAGCTGTAAGCTAAATCTCTCCTTTCTAAGTTGTGGGTGTGGAGACTGTGTCCCAGCAATGGGAAAGCTAACTAATATAGTATAACAAGTGGGTAAATTATTGGCCCTGCGTGGTCCTAGCAATTTGAAGCTACTTTGATTTTAGGTCTGCCATGAAGAGAACTTTGCTATTGAAATACACTATTAGCTACATATGGCTGTTTAAATTTAAGTGAATTAAAATTAAATAGATTTAAAAATTTTGTCCTTTAGTCACAGTAGCCACATTTCAAGTGTTCAGTTTCCTTTTAGCCATTTCCTGGTGTCCACCTGTATTGGACAATGCTTAGCTGGACTTAAACCATGTAGAAGATCTTAGGAAGACAACTTTTACTTGGAAGATTTAACACTACTGCAGAAATGATCTAGTTATTCTCATAACATAATCTTACATATTAGACAGTTGTCCTAAGAATTCCTGCTGGAACAGAACCTGTATGTTATGATGGTTTGGGGCCTGATTCTTACTTGTAATGTCTTACAAGACAGGTTAGACTCGATTCCAACGCATTTATTTCCTAACAGCCCAAGCGCAGGGTGTGCTACAATCTTTGGAAATAAGTTAATAGGTTGAGTATTTACTATTTATTATAAACTAGTTCTGAGAGCTTGGATCTCTTCAGGTCTCTCTGTCCATAACTGTGGATAATGTTAGATAATTCTCTTTTACCTCTTTGTAGATCTGCTTTTCATCTGTATCAAGGAGATCAGTCATAATATCTGGTCTGTACATTTCTTGTGTATTTAGTAACTAATTCCTTTGCTCTCTATCTGAATGAATATCAAAGGGTAGGAGTAACCTAACCTATAATCTTCTCTGTGTTATGTTTGATTAAGGGCAGTTAAAAATAGAATTGATCTTCATTTTCAGTTAAATGAAGCAGCCCTTTACATTGTATTTGTCCCCTTCCTCCAGCCCTTATCATCAGTGAAATACCAAGAATGACCTACTTTACCTTAAGACTAACTAGAGACTTCTGATTTCCTTTACCCCTTGGATAGTCTTTATTTAACTGTTGTATGTGTGTACAAACAGATCATATCTTCCATTGAAGAAAGTTGGGATCAACTAATGAATTATAACATTGTGAATGGTGAAGTTACAGAATGGTGCCCGTCCTTTGATACCCCAGAGCAGGAATTTTTATCCTCAGGTTCATTGTTTTCTGACATTGCTGAACCCTTTATGCAGACTCATTTATGAGTATGCTTTTATCATATCCTCAAAGGTGTCCTTGTTCCTGAAAAAATGTTAAGAACCATTGGCAGTTGAAAGAAATGATTGAATGGGGAAAGATAGAGCTGTTTGCTTCCACCTGTCAGTGAAGTAACTCAAGTCATTTTCCTCCTCAGCCGACTCACTTGTGTTCTGGCTCTCTCCCAACTTGTGGCTGTCATTTTCTTGCCATTCCCTGCTGTTTCTCTCTTTATAAAAGTAAACAATAGCTCACTTCTCATTCTAGAAAACTAATGTGTCATGTAGTATAAGTTAGCATTTTTAAAGTGTTACTTTCATTGTATGTTTTTCTTTATTAAGTGAGTGTCTGAGACAACTGTGTATTTTCAAGAAAATTGAAAGGCATTCCATGCCCTGGCCCTGCCCATTGACCATTGGCTCCAATTTATCTATAAAGATTGTGGCCTATAAATCGGTAAGTGGTAGCTACATATTTTTTAAATAAATGTTATCAGGCAGATAAAAACACTTATGCAAGGAGCTGACAATTCATGTGTGGGTTATTCAGAGCATAATTACTGCTTCTCTAGCTGCTCTCCCTTTATTCATTTAATCTCTGTTTAGCTTTATGTAGAAGGCATTCTAGGAGAAGCTTTAAGAATTGTCTGTAATAGAGTGTAATTCCCCCCTCTTTCTCTTTCTCTGCATTGATAATTAACTGTTAATCATGAGTTCTGGTCTCTTTCTTTTAAGAAAAAAATGTAATGCATTAAGTTATTACAATATTACAGCAGAAATGTAGACATGGCAGCAGAGTTAAGTTCAACGTTTTGGAGGTTCACTCATACTTAATCCAGTTATTAATGATCTAACAGTAACAGCATCTGTGCAATGTCAAAAACTGATGAGTTGTTACTGTGAAATTGTATTTCATAATACATATATATATATATATATTTGTACATATTAGTGCACTGTCAACAGTGAGTTGCTTTTGTTGAGTATTTGATGAATATCTAGTCTGAGTAGGAGTCTCTTGATTCATGCCTACATATGTGCTTCCTTGCTTTTTTTCTTTAAATACACAAAAAGAAAAATATTCTAAGTACACAGATAAATATACAAACCTGTGTTCATATATTCAAGGACTTAATTCTGAAACACATATGTCATAAGAACTTGTAAGATAGTACTTTTTCATTTATATTTATTTTTATGTCCCATCAAGGTCCAAAATTGTGTTTCTAGGAATGAGAGGGCAGTCTCTTTCTTTTCTTCTTTATGCAGGTTTCCTTTTTGTTGATCTGACTCATATATTGCTCTCTCTTTTTAGAAAACTGTGGTAAAACACGTTGGTCCCCTTTTTTAGGCAGTCTGAGGGTGCAGTATATTCAGATAGTAATATTTGTCTGTTGATTTTTCTAGGAGAAAAATGGACTATAGGGAGAGTTATAATGTATTTCTTTTTATGAAACTAAGATTTCCATAAAAGGCCAAAAACATAACATTGTAGGTAGAATGATTGTACTGGATTCTTTTTCATGTGAACCAGAAGATATATTAGGTTTTTGTCATCTAGCATTCAGAATCCACCGGAGGTTTAGCTCACTGGCACCATGCCTGCCTTGCAAGCACAAGGTCCTGAGTTTGATCCCTGGTACCCCCCCAAAAAAAATCAGAATTCTGGTTTTTTCTTATTTTCCCTTTATTTATCTTTCGGCAATAAGATTCTGCAGGAGAAAGTTAAAAAGACTTGGATAGTTATAGATGCACGAACCCTGAAGAAAGAAGATATACAGAAAGAAACAGTTTATTGCTTAAATGATGATGATGAAACTGAAGTTTCCAAAGAAGACACTATTCAAGGTATGGTAGTAAGAGTTTGTGCGTTTGTCTAACATACATTTTCTTCAAGGTGATAGGAGGCAGGCTAGGGTTAGTATTGGTGTTCACTTAGAGACCCTTCTCTGAGTTCAGAGATGCAACTATCTGAGGGAACACAAGTCCTTTAGCTGCTCTATTGGGTTTAGGCAGGATTGTTCCTAGGAAGACACTTGAGAATTTCATTTGTCTGAATTTTAAATGTTTCAAGTGATGAGACATAATATTTAGCTTTCCTTTATAGTTGAAACTCACTAACTAGTAGAATGCTTACATTAATTCAAGTGGCTAAAGAATTAATAAAATATTTTTTCCTTTTTTCATAATTCTTTATATGCCATTTTCAGGTTTTATATCCTGCCAGATAAGGTCCTTTAAGTTAATTTAGGGTCTAAGAAAAATTGTGCTTATTATATTGCTTTACACTCACTAGAGTCTTTAAAGTTGGATTCATATGTCATACCCATTTGGCTTGAATAGTATATGTAGATGGCATCTCTATCTAGAGGACTTAGAAACAAGATGAAAATATCCAAATGTTCAAGAGCTAAAATTATAAAATACCAAATAATGGTTAGGGCAGCATCTCCTAGGGTCCTTAGGTACATTTCTTGCCAGGCTGTGCACTATCCAGTGTATTTTTGATTCGCAAGTCTTGAAAACAGTTTTATCTGTGATACAGTAACTCATTGCATATAATGATATGTGTTACAGAATAGAGTAGTTTAAAGGTAGTGGTAGTTATCAATCTTTCTTCTGATAGGTTATGTATAGAATGTAATTATTATCCCGCTAGCTCTTTAGTTCACTTCAGCAGCATAGAACATGAATTTTGGAATCAGACTTGGATTAGAATCATGACTCTCTGGCTAATCATTCTATTCCATTGTCATAACTAACTATAGTAGGAAGAGTAGCATGATTAAAGGACAAGACCAGGAAAATAGGCGTAGGTGGAATCTAATAGACAGCATGCACTTGTCTTTGTGATTGTCACAACAGCCTATTGAAGCAGGTACTTTTACGATTTCCATTTTACATGTAAGGGAACAAAGGCTGAAAGACACTCATTAAAGTATTCAAAGTCACACTGCTTGAATTTAGGGCTGTGCTCCTTTAGAAATTGTGCTCCTACATATTATTCTGAATTAGGACTAACTAATGAAGGGCTTTGAATGATGTGCTAAGAATTTACACATAATTTTGAAAGCAATATGGAGTCATTTAAAATTTTAAGGAGCAGGATGTCATTGGAGCTGAATTTTAGGATGATGAATAAAGTAGCCAGATACGGGATGGGTTGGATAAGGGTGCCACTTCTCTTGATTGTTAGCAAAGAAAGTTCTGGTTATCTTAAGCAAAAAGAAAGTTTACAGTGGGGCGAAGATGGAAGGGGACATGTTAAAAACTGTTTGGGTTCAAAGTACATGGGAATACATTATTTTTTCCTTTACTTTTTTATAACTATGGTCTGTCCATTCTTCATTGCCTAGTATGTTGAGCTCTCTTTGTCCACAGAAGAACTAGTCTGCATATGTGGGCAAAGGAATATTGTTATTTAAGGTGTGATTGAAAAATATGGAGCATTGTTACTTTTTTAAAAAGTTTATTACAATAAAAGACACATTGCCATTAATACCTCTCAAAATATTCCATCTCACTTCAAATATACTTATCCCACTTTTCTTTTTGTTTGTTTGGTTTTGGTTTTTTAAGGCAGGGCGTTGCCATATAGTTCAGGCTGACTTTGAATTCACTATGTAGCCCAGGCTAGCCTCAAGCTCATGGCAACCCTCCTGCCTCATCCTCCCAAGTTCTGGGATTACAGGTGTGCACCACCAACCCTGCTATCCTACCATTCTTGACACTATCTGAAGCAGTTTTGGAAGTCCTCTTTTGTGTCTTTAGTTGTGTTGTCATGGCTGCCTTAATGTCCTGAATTTATTGAAAATGTTTACCTTTTTATTTGATTAACTTGGCATGATTGAAACATAGAGTGTTAAATTTAAAAATTTATTATAGTAGAAGACACATTGCCATTGATCCCCCTCAGAATACTAAAAGAACTTCCCCCTACTTCAACACACTTTCCCCATCATTACCATAAGGCAGTGTATCTTACTGTAATATGATTTTTAAAATTTAAATATTTGCTGTATTTGTCAATCACCTCTTGTAAAGTTATAGTCTGTTTTACACTTTCTGCCATATAGAAAAGATAGATATTTGCCCCTTAAGTAGAAGAACCAGTAAACACAAGACAGTTTTAATTAGAACTTTCAAGTTACTGTGAAACAATTTAAATAGAAAGATAATTGACACAGAGAAAAGTTAAGAAAATCAATAATGTACTATATATTTCTCTGTTAATGTTTTGTTGGATTTTTTTGGCCAGTTTTGTTTTGTTTTGTTTTTGGTTTTGGTACTGGGGATTAAACTTAGGACCTTGTGCTTGCGAGGCATGCACAGCACCACTGAGCTGAATCCCTGGACCTTTTTTGGCCAGTTTTAAAAAAAAGACATAGGAAGATAGAAGTATGTGTCTTCTTACTTAAATACATGATATCAGCAGACTAACAGGAACAAGTAAACATTGGATCACAGAATCTACCTTTGGAAACTCAGGATTTTTGTTTTTTAGATTAAAGATGAATGGTTTTTCCTTTGCACTTACCCAAGGCCAGAATCCTGGAATTTTGATGACTCCTCTCCTCACCACATATATGATGCTGTGTATTGAAAGAGCATGGTCTTCCACAGAGTGATGACAGTGAACCAGGTTGAGGTTTTTGTCTTTTTTTTTTTTTAAATCAGAGGCAATATTTACAGAAAGGGGAGAAAAACAAAATTCCAAATACAAAATAATTTTAAATGAATCAGTTGCATATTTCTAAATGGAAGAATTTTGTCATCTTCCCTTAGGCATTTGTATGTCTCTAGCATACATTTTTCAGAACATTTTGTTCAGAAAATTTCCTATGGGTGGTTTTCTCTGTGGGTCTCCAGGTTTTTGAATAAATGTGTTCTTGTTATTATGTTTACAAACCACACTTGTACTTTAGTTAACCATGGTTCATCTTGGGAGGATAGCTAGTACATTGCATTTGCTCCATTCCTTATTCTAGGCTGGATAACCATTAAGGTAACTAGATTGAAGAAGATGCTACTTTAAAAATGTAATTAGATTTTAATCTCTATATTATGCGTATGGTTTGGAATCTGCCACTGCCTTTTCTCTGTTGGTCACAAGGGGCAGTAATTTGATTCCGGGGAATAGAAGATGGAGGCAGGCTCTGGAGAATGCATGTGTTGTTAATATATACATAGAGCACATTTCAGCTTGGAGAAAATGAGGCCCCATGTACTTAACAGATGTTCTTCTCTTGTTCTCTAGGGTTCCGCTATGGAAGTGACATAATTCCTTTCTCTAAAGTGGATGAGGAACAAATGAAATATAAATCGGAGGGGAAGTGCTTTTCTGTTTTGGGATTTTGTAGATCTTCTCAGGTACAGCAGTTATTTTGCAGTTTTGAGCAAAATACATGAGCCTTTTTCCACGTATTCCTTGAGATGGTGTTCTTTTGATTGGCCATTTTATTTACAATATGTATTTATTTTACCTTAGTCTTCTAAAATGTGGTCTGAGGTTTAGTGTTGCTACCTTTAGTTTTTGAAGAGGAAAGCAAAGATGTAAAAGGGTCTTAGTACAAATCGGAGTGATATATTAAGTCACTTTTTTTTTTTTTGCCTTACTAACCATTATAGCTCATAGTAACCTAAAGAAAACAATATACAGTTCTTTGCTCTTGTGTTGTTTTCTGTAAACTGCTGTGTATAATGGGATGTTTTAGACTTTTGAGGATCTCGCTGGGTTTTAAATGACCATCAACACCCAGAATATCATTCATTGTGCTGATCACCTTCTCAGTGTTCAATATAGAGTTCTAGAATGTGAAACTTATCTAATACATGTGCTTTAGGCACTGAAGCAGAGATGCACAAAATGGACCCAATGGGAGATGTGGTAATTCACTGTTGGACATCACAGACAATTTCAGAAAGAATTTTTAAAAGATTTCCAGACATACTACATTAAATGTTCTTTTTTTGATTTTGTTTTTTTTTTTTTTTTTTTGTTGAAGCAGAGATGCACAAAATGGACCCAATGGGAGATGTGGTAATTCACTGTTGGACATCACAGACAATTTCAGAAAGAATTTTTAAAAGATTTCCAGACATACTACATTAAATGTTCTTTTTTTGATTTTTTTTTTTTTTTTTTTTTTTTTGAGACAGGGTCTCTCTATGTAGTTGAGACTGATCTGGAACTCACTATGGAGCCCAGGCTGGTCTCGAACTCATAGCGATTCTTCTGCCTCAGCCTCTCAAGTGCTGGGATTACAGGCGTGCGCCACCACACCCAGCTAAATGTTCTTGAGGTAGTCAGTCATAGATCAATTGTTATTTATAAATGTAAAGTGTATCTTTTTAAAGTGTATTTTACCCAAGTTTTATAGGGACAAAGAATTAACAAACTCATGAAAATTAGTGTTTTCTTACTATTCTACAATATCTGTTATACATTTTGGTCCTCATCTCTACCTTCAGTTTGTCACACTCAAGGAACAATTCAGTATTTACACATGTGTGTCCTATTTATTTCACTTAAAGAGTATGGCCTCAGGGTTCATTCATTTACCTATAAATGTCTCGTTTGTCTTTTTATGGCTGAGTAGTAGTACTTCATTTTATAAAAAAACACATCTTTATCCACTCACCAGTTAAAGGGCTTTTGGACTGCTTAGGGTTGGTGTAGAGGATAGGAAAGAAGGGAACGAAGAAAAATTGAAGAAAAGGAAAAAAAATGAAACAAAGCTTATGTATATAGGAAGGGATAGAGGGGTTGAAGGGAGGGCAGGGGAATGGGAAAAAAATAAGAACCAAGATATATCATGTACAGGTACAAATTCCCAATGATGAATGTGATCATAAGGTATACCTAAAATGCATCAATAAACTTAAATGAAAATATAATATTTATACACACACACACATATATGAAAATTAGAGTGAAGATAAATGTTCCCCTGTATTCTATTTTTGTCATGTTTTGTTGAGACATGTTTTGTTGAGTGTCTTGCTGTGCAGTTCAGTCTGAGCTTGAACTCACTATGTAGCCGAAGCTGGCCTCGAACTTCCCTCAGTGCTCCTGCCTCAGCTTCCCAAGTGCTGGGATTACAGGCATGTGCCACCACACCTGGCTACTCTGTATTCTGGATTTGAAATTATTCTTGTTGCTCTATATATGGTCCCTGTCCATGTGTGTGTTAGAATAATTTATTGACATTGAGAACTGTTTTCATGATTATCTAAGCTGTTAATATGTGCCTTCAAAACTTATAAGCCAAAAATTTAGGGTATAAAGTCTGTAAGATTTTACTAGGGACAACAGATGCCTTTTGGGAGCTGAGATGTAATAAGTCTGTAACAAGAGCCACTACATGCTTTTTTTAAAAGTAAAATTACTTGGGTTAAGAAGTATATAAACTTAGAACGTAATTATTAATGGTAGAATTTACAAATCTTCAGTAAAACAGAAACTTCATTTGCTTTTTGTTTTTTGAAATAGGTTCTTGCTATGTTATTTAGGCTGGCCTTGAACTCATGGTGATGCTCCTGCCTCAGCCTCCTTAGTGCTGAGATTACAGGAATGTGTCACCACTATGGCTTCAGAAGCCTCATTTTTAGATTAGTTTAAGAAAATTGACCAATTGAGATGTGGATCTAAGTCTAGATAATAGAAAAGATGGATGGAAAAATATCTTCAAGTATAATTCAGGACTGAGAATATTGAAATGTTACCATATTGGGAGCAAGGAGCTATTTTATTAATTGATTGATTGATTGGTACTGGGGATCGAACTCGGGACCTTGCCTCTGTGAGGCAGGCAGCAGAACCACAGAACTAAATTCCCGGCCCTAAGGAGCTATTTTAAATAACAGAAGAAAAGTGAACTGAAAAAAAATACACTTTTCATTTAGAAGACTTTTATCATGAAATGTTTTCTAAATCAACTCTTTGTCTTTAAGCTCTAAATCAATTTTATCATAACTATAATCTCAGGCAGCTACATCGAAGATAATTATAGCTACCATTTATTGAATAATTATAATATTCCAGAAAATGTATTAGCATTTTATGTAAGTTTTCATTTAATTCTTGTTACCCTCTCAAATGGGCTCTGTGATACACATTTTATAGATGAAAAAATTGCACTGCAGAGCTATTTAACTCATCTAGCATCACACAGCTAAAAGGTGTTATAGGTGGGCCTTACGCCAGGTCTCTAACTCCATAGGCTGTGCCATTATTTAGTGGTAATCTGCTCAGGAGACAAACGAATGAATTGTTGAGTAGTTCAGTTTAAATATCTACTTTCATATAATATATTAACAAAAGGATGCAAGGTATTTTCCATAGTGACTATGATTAAATATAAGCATACGCCTTTTAACAGACTTGTGATTATCTTCAATAAAATCACCTTTCATTCCATATTATGGATTCCCCATTCCTGGATTGTACTATACTCTGGGACGAGACTCAGGGCCTCTGGCATGCTAGGCAAGTACTTTACCGCTGAGTTATAGTCCCAACCTAGGTTATGATTTTTTTTGTGTGTGAATTGTTCTCAATTGAAAATTTCAAGAGGTCAGTTTGTCCCATGTTTGGGGTATCTAATTATAAAATAGATAAAAATTTAGCTAAATCTTCCCCTGAATATCTAGCTGTTCTTTGAAAAGTTATTTAGGGGCACTAGGAAAATTTATCATTAGTTGTTCTTTAATAAGTCAAGAACTATTATAGATTCTAACTGGGGAAGCCAATGTAATATAGCAAAATGAAAGTATAGGATTTTTTAGAAGTAGTATTTTTCAGATGGAGAGTGAAAGTGGAGATCAGGGGTATTTGAGTTATATAGACCTCACCCCTATAAGTTGGAGACTCAGTCCTCCTGATCAGTTCATATTGTGAAAGTGCTCTGAATTTCTCACTTTTACAGGTGGGAGAGCAGAAAAAACATATGAGAAGTGTTGCCAGGGTAGCACATGGCATATTCCTAGAAATAAGCTCCAGGGCCAGGGATTTAGCTCAGCGGTTCGGTGGCCTGCCTTTCAAGCGCAAGGACCTGAGTTCAATCCCTGGTACCAAAAAAAAAAAAAAAAAAAAAAAACCTCCAGACTCTTCAATATTCATTTTCTTACTGGATATTGGTAGACTGTTTTGACCCCTCTGATACTGTGCTGTGAAAATTAATTGAACTGAAAGAGGGAAAAGAAACATGTACTTGTTTTTGGTTTAACTAGTTTCTCTTTTCCCAGTCCTGACCCTCCTTAATTCATTTTAGTCTCATTCATTCTTCATTTTAGGCAATTCATAACTGCCTTCTCACTGCTCTTAGGATGAAGTCCAAACCATTTGACTTTGTTCCCAAGAGACTTTATGATCTAATCTTTGTTAATCTCCAATTTGATTTTTTTGTAGCAAAACATTTATTGATACATTTTAGTCATGCATAATGATAACACTCATCATAGGGAATTTGCACCTGTACATGATACATCCTGCCTCTTTTTTCCCACCCCCCCTTAACTTCCCCCTCCCCCACTATGTACAAAAGCTTTGTTTCCATTTTTTCCTTCTATTTTCACTTTTTTTTTCCTGGTCCCGGGGTCAAACTAAGGACCCTGTGCTTGTGAGGCAGGCGCGGCACCTCAGAGCTAAGTCTCCATCCTTATTTTCACATTTTTTTCTTGTCTCTTCCTTCCTTTTTCCCTCCCTTGTTCCCCTTCCCATTTGAACATTTTCTTCTCATTTCCCAGTATCTATTATGCATTTTAATCCTTATTCCCACTTTGTTTTCTTTATCTGTCCCCATAATCACTGGCCCTGCACTACTCCAAAAGCAGTTTCTCAGATTTACTATGCTTTTATGTCACTCTGCATTTTTATTCACACTGTTATTTCTGCCTGGGATCTTATGCCCAGATTTCCCTAGGTTAATTCCTATGTAGTCTGTTAAGTCTTGAATTAGATATCACCATTTGCATACACATTCCCCAAACCCTTTTGACAAAGCTTAGTGCCCTTATGTGCTCTTACAGCACTGTAATATTGGACTGTAATATTGCACTGCAGTTAATTTGATGTTTATCTACCTGAGTTCCTCAAGGACAAGATTATATCCTGTTCACTGTTGTGTTTATAGTATCCACAATGGAAAACATATACTAGGTGTTCAGTTTCTTGTGTTGAATTGAATTGGGCCTCAAATCATAAGTTGCTCCTAGTAATTGTGAATATTTCCCAATAAGTGTTTTGAATAGACTTTCTTTGCAACATAGGACATTATAATTATATATATTTCTTATTCTAGATCAAAACAAAAACTTTTCCCTCTCTTATTCTTGTAGGTCCAGAGAAAATTCTTTGTGGGAAATCAAGTATTAAAGGTCTTTCCAGCACATGGTGATGAGGTAAGTTGACTGTGATCTTTTAGGTAGTGCTAAAGAGCTCAACTGTCATTTTATGAAAGTGAGTTGAAGCTTTATTGTTTAAAAATGACATGAATTCTTGTAATAGCAGTGGGAATATTCCCTGACTTTTGACTTTGAAAATGGAGAAATGATAAACAATTTTGTCTTAGCATAACCAAAACACCTGGGAACATAGTGCTGCAATTGGAGACCAGGTGTAAGTATTAAAACATTTTTGAATAAGTGCTTTTAGGTGTGGGAATTTCATGGCCAAATGTTAAGGAGGTTTGGGCTCAGGTTGACATTTTTTGTTTTTTTGGTACCAGGGATTGAACTTAGGACCTTGTGCTTGCCAGGCAGGTGCTGTGCTGCTGAGCTAAATCCCTGGCCTTGGGTTGACATTTTGATTTTTATAAACATTGAACATTTAGTGTTAGCATAAGCATTGTAGAGAGGTGCTTGAGAGACTCACTGGACTTTGTCTTTTACCCGCTCTCTTTCTCTTTGCACTCTCTTTACCATATTCCCAAAATACTCTTTCCAGGCTAGTTTCTGCCTGGCTAACAACAGTGATTTTTGCATACTACACTCACATTTACGTCTTTGTAAATTTTTTTTTTTTTTACTTCCAAGTCAGAATTTATTATTTCCTTGAAGATGTTACTCTTAACTGGAAGATTGCAATCTAGTATCTGTATCTGTTTAAGACAATTTAAGTAGGTTTCCAAATTTCTGAAGCATTTGCATTTGAAATTAGGGGTAGGAGTAGGGTGTCGGTATAACGCATATAGTCTTCTTTTTTCCTCACTTCTGAAAGGTAACTGGCTGCTGGTCTAGTGGTTGAGTATGCCAATATTCTGTGAGAACAGTTAAAATTAGGGGAAGAAAATGCTTGGCTTTTATTCCGTACTGAACAGATTCATTAGTGCACAGCACACATGTGAATCTTCGAATTTGAGAATTCTAGTTCATAGGTTTCTTCTGAATCAAATCCTCTAGAGAACATGCATATTTTCATATGTAGTGTCAAACCTTGACTTTTTTTTTTTAACTTCTGCTGAGGTTTTAGGTCCTGTTTGTCCCTTTTCGCAGAAAATTCTGATCTCTTCATGAGAATTGTGGAAATGCAGGGAGGGATGTCATATCATAAAGTTGAGTTGACACACGTTGGGTGATTATCTAGACTTGCTAGTTGAGGGCAGCCTTATGAAGTGCATGATTTGAATCTGGCCTTGTATAGGTAACTAATTTCTATTGTCAATGTGAAATAAAAATAGACACAGATATCCAGTAAAAGAACTTGTATTTGGGAATAAAGAACAGGATTCCAACCTGGGACACATGCACAGATCTGGTTGCCTCTGGTTTGTTTGGAAAATAGAAGAGTTTGGGGTTTTACTAGGACAGAAATCTGTGCACCTTATTATGAAAGAAGAGTCATTGACACTTTTGGTACTTGAGGGAGTTGGCACACTCTACTTGGTGAGTGTCTTAGTTACTTTTCCCTCATGAGACAAAATACCCATCTCCCAAAGTTAAAGGGGGCAAGGTTTTGTGTTAGTTATTTTTCTCTCATTGCTGAGACAAAATACTCAATACCCAAAATTGAAGGAGAAGTTTTATTTGGCTTACAGTTTGTAGGGGTTCAGTCCATAATTGGCTAGCTTCAAGGCAAGGTGGCAGAGTGGCAACAGTTCATGGCTGTGGAAGCAGCAAAAAGCAACAAGAGAAGTGGGAGGGGCATCACAGAGGAGAAACAGTTAATTGCAGTGGAAGACAGAAAAATCAACAAGGGACCCAGAGAATGTCTTTCTGCTCCTCTTACCTTATTTAGACTACCAGGATTAGGGTGGGGCCAAACCAGTCACATGTAGTGCTTTAATAATCACACACCCTTAATCCTAGCATCAGATTTAATCCTAGCATTTCAGGTTTAGCTACCTTCAAAAAAGACTGCATGAGTCTTTGGGTGGACATCGAGACACAAGCCTCAAGAGATTCATTTGGCTCACAGTTAGTAGAGGTTTTAGTCAATAAGCAGCTTGCTCTAAGGCATATTGGCAGAGGAGCAATAGTTCTTGGTGGTGGAAGGCAGCAAAAAGCAACAAGAGAACTTTAAAGGCATCTTTCTGCCCCTTTTATCCAGACTACCGGGATTAGGGCCATGCCAAACCCATCAGTGAATGGGTTTATTGATCACACGCCCTTAATCCCAGCATCACACTCTAGATTCAGACACTTTTTAGTTTAGTGGCACTGGGTCTGCTCTGCAAGCACAAGGTCCTGAGTTCAATCCGGTACAAAAAATGAATCAGCTAGGAGGAGAGAAAAGCATGGGGAAGGGTGGCCCACACAACAGAATAATTAAGGGAGAGTGTTTCTTCTGAAGCCAGAGAAGGAGAATGTGCAGAAGGGGGATGGGTGGGGGAGCTGTGTGTCCAGTGACTGCAATCGGAACCAAGGACTTGGCATGGAGGAGTCATGGGTGACTCCACAGGATGGTTTCATTAAGGAAGGGGAAGTAGCTGGATTAGATTGAACAATGACACTATTCTAAGCAGTGCAAATAGCAAGATTATTATTTCATGAGATTTCCAGGGGAGGAGATTGAAAGATACAGGTATAGTAATTTATGGAGAGAGAAACACTGAAAGATTTTGTTTTGGAAGGCTGAGAATTAAGTAATTTATCCGATGAGGATAGCAGTTCAAAGTAGAGGGAAGATTGAAGCAATAATGTAGTTTAAAAAATTCCAGAAAAAGTACACTCAGTGTATAGTTCGGCCTTGAAGTAGATAAAAGAGCACTTTATTTCGTGGTGCTGAGGGTCAAACCCAGAACCTTGTGCCTGCTAAGCAGGTGCTGTACCACTGAGTTATAGTTCCACCTCCTATGGGCACTTAGAAAAAAATCTGAAAAGGAAGAAAGTGGATATTTAAGAAAAAAAAAAATTTGTGGAAATTCTCACATATTCGGCATATGTTAACACTTGCACCTTTTTAATAGGCAGCAGCAGTTGCACTTTCCTCCCTGATTCATGCTTTGGATGAATTAGACATGGTGGCCGTAGTTCGATATGCTTATGACAGAAGAGCTAACCCTCAAGTTGGTGTGGCTTTTCCTTTTATCAAGGACTCCTATGAGGTAAAACCCATAGGTATTTTTTATTCATTTTTTTCTTCTATTCCTTTATTCTAAGCCATACTTCTCAAATGTTAGTGTGCATGAGAATTACTTGGAGATGTTAAAATGCAGATTCTAACTCTGCAAATCTAGGTTTGGGCCCAGATTCTGCATTTCTTATAAACTCCCAAGTAATGCTGACATTGCTGATCTGTGAACTATGCTTTCAGTTGTAAGAAAACTATAAACTATTAAAGTATTTAAGGAGCTTTTTATGAAATCAGTAAAGGTGAACTATGACCCTCTCTCAGTTCTCATCCCGCTTGACTTCTCAGAACCAAATGGGAACAGAACTTGCCCCCATTTTAACAAATAGGGACTGTGAATAAAGGTTGAAGATGTGATTTGGTTGTAGTCCTTGTGAAGTTCGCTTTATTTGGGGCCTTTCTATTTAAAATACAGGTCTAGATTCCTTACATTTCCTGTTTCTGAGAGAACCTATCATGGCACAGCTGTAAAGAGAAGGCAGATCCCCTTGGCTTCCAGGTCAGCCTTCCAGGCACCCTGACTTCTCTCATTTGTTCTGCTTGGTCATGCACTTTGTAGTTATCATTTAATTATCTTTCTTTTAAGCTTTTCTTTTATCTGTAATATCCTTCATGTTGTTTGCAGTCTTAAATAGTCAATAGCAGAAGTCAAAACACTTTTACTTTTCATGTGTTAGATTTAAGCTAATTTTTGAAATATTTCTGTTGTGCCACTTTTACAGCATTTGGGGCCATTTTTATACTGTTCCATTGTTATGGTTGTTTCTGCTTTTTATCTTTTCTCTTTCCCATTAGTGTTTAGTGTATGTGCAGCTGCCTTTCATGGAAGACTTGCGGCAATACATGTTTTCATCCCTGAAAAATAATAAGAAATACACTCCCACGGGTGAGTTTATTTCTGTTCAGCTCACTAATGGCTCTACATGTAAACTGCTCTGAGGAAATTGCCTGGTTGTGATCATAAGTTGGGGCCAGGCTTTCACAGAGTGGAATTAGTTGGATTCCAACCATAACACATTCAGCGATGATGAAGGTGGTCACCAGGTGTTTTTCCAGTGTTAAGGATAGGTTTGCTCTCAACTCTCCAAACATTGTCTCTTTCCACCTTCTGATTTTGAGCATGTATGCAGGGAACAGCTTGTTGATGCTGGATCTTCATTCTCCAGTTGTAAGCAGAAGGTTTGTCCCTGCTAGAGGGGATAGGTGTGCAGTGTCAAACCTGTGACTTCATTGTCCTACATATATTCTGATATAACTTTGAAATGAAGGTGACAATGCCAGAGATGAACTTTACTCCTTGTCCTTCCTATGTAATTTATAGTGGCAGTCCAAGTCTTGTTATTTATTTCCAGTTGCTAGGAGTTACTCCATGCTTGATGAGAAAGGCTGTTATTAAGCATCTGGCTGCAAATGTCAGAGTGTTACACTGAGTGATTCTCAGCCACAAGTCCTGTCTCCCAGAGAGCTCACTGTTTAAGACAGTCATGATAAAGTGTAACGGGGCAGAATGAAAAGAACAATGAGTGTTAATAGATGTTTTAATTTATCAGTTTAAAGCTATTATCTTTGTTAGTGTAGGATTAAGGAATTGTGAGGTGAGTGTCCAGACAGGGTTCTCCCTGTGTGTTATTGTGGTTGGACCCTTTGGGAACTGTACTGTGGAAAGACCAAGAATAAAATGGGTCTCTAGGGCCGAGAATAAAATGTGTCTCTTTATCTTATCTTCCTTTTAGAGATGAATCCCTATCACAGTGGAGGCAGGCATGAGTCTGAATGTATACAGTTTTTCACCATGTTAGAGTCTGTCTCCTTGACCATTCCAGACTTTAAATGAGTAGTATGCTTTAAAAGGAGAATTTTGTTGAGAAATGTCTTATAGATGTAACTCACGCAGGATCTAAAAAAACTGAATATCTCTTAATTGGTTGATCTATCAGTGAGTTAACATATTTCTCTTTACATTTTCTCAAGTGGAAAGTAGATCCTTAAAGCTGTCACTGTTTGTGTAGGGATTTTCACTGCCAGAGTGATTTTGCCTGATAGCTGGTGGCAGTGGGTGGAAATCGCTGAATGTGCACATGTGTGAGACCAGGTATACACTATGCTCATCATCTTAAGAAGGTGATGGCTGTGCCATTGCCTGAAACCTACACAGGAAAGTTCAAAAACAGGAAAGAAATGTCTCATGATAAATACTGTATTTTATTTTGTTATAGCTATACAAAAGGGATATCTGAAAAAGTGAAAATAAAATATAAGGTACTTTTCCGAAACTGCTTACTCTTTACCACCTTTTGCCTGGTAAATGTAAATCCAAAAATAGTGCTTTACCTTGATAGCTGAATGAGTCAGAAGAATGAAAGATACACCTGGCAGCTTAGTTGGAAGCGTTTTTTGAGAGGTGTTGCCTTTCATCCACATTGCTTTGAGCAGTACCCTTTTTGCTGACTTGGTAGATTTTTATTCAGTGGTGCTCGCCTTCTATTAGGTTTTAGGAAAGACATAAAATGGATGATGTATTTTGTCACAGAGCTTTAGAGTTTGAACAGAGTAAGACACATATGCAGGTGTGCATATATGCAAGGTGCCTAGTGTCATGAGGCTTTGCAAGAGGAAAGGGCTGATCTTGAGTGGAGCTTGTGAAAGACTCAGCTCACTAGTCCAGCGGTGTCTTCCTGTTAAGGTTCTGGATAAAAATTATAGTAAGTCTTTGAAAGCTGATGCTTCATTACTAGATGGGTTTTCTTTTTCCTACTTAATGTTTTTCTTTTAGCTGATTACTGATTTTTAAAGTCCTAGCTCATTGAATACAGAATATTTTATATGAATCTCCATGAGAGTGTTGAGTTTTGTATGGCTGTAGTGCCTTTTTCTGGAACAAACTTTTTTTTTGATATGATACTGCATTGTCAAAGGTCCACTGAGTGGTGGAGCAGAAAAGGACCTAAGAGAGCTCTTTTCACAGATAAGAAAACGAAGATTCAGGTTAATTACTTGCATAACTAGAGATTATTTTTGGCAGAGCCAGGCTATATAACCTGCCAGTGTCGCTGTATTTATAAATGGAAAACATTTGTTTTAGTGAAGGATAATGGAAATAATCATTTTTTCTTTCTGCTTTCCCTTGTTTTAAGAGGCACAGTTGAATGCTGTTGATGCTTTCATTGACTCTATGAGTTTAATAAAGAAAGATGAAGAGGAAGACACCATCAAAGACTTGTTTCCAACTGCTAAAATCCCAAATCCTGAATTTCAGAGATTATTTCAGGTGAGAAAGGAAAGACGAACTACTCATAAAGCTGTGAAAAAACAAAACAAAACGCTGTGATCATTGGCCAGTCCCAAATAAACATCTTTATCCTTTGAGGCTCTGAAGGCCTCATTTGTTTTACTTAGAGAAAAATATTCTGAGCTTGTAGAAACAAAAGTTAGAATCCAAGTGCAAGGTCCTGGTTCGATCCCCGGTACCAAAAAAAAAGAAAAGTTAGAATCCTTTTTTTTTTGCTTTGAAGAAGCCTAGTTGAAGAAAAAAAAAAATACAGAAGAGCTTAATCAAAAGTAGGTTCTTCTTTTATACCTTTTCAGGCTTTTCTCATATATTTCTATGTGAATGACTTTTTTTTTTTTTGACTTAAAAATCAGTAGCAAGAAAGTTTACATGGACTGTATAGTAACATAACCATGATTAGGGAGAAATTTTTGCAGTGCCACATTTGTCAAAAATTTCATAATTAAACATAGAATAGAGGTCAGATAATGAGATCATAATATGAAATTATTCAAGAGTAACTACAATACAGAAAAATGTAAAATACAGTATGTATTTCTAAATTTTAAACCAGAAGAATTAGAAAGTTGGAGAATTAATGTAAATTGGGGGAGTTGACAAGAAACCTGAGTTATGCCAAGAAAAGGGAAGGTAAGATCAGAGTTAAAGAGGAGGGAGAATTCCAGCTCTGTACTAAGCTGATGACAACAAGGCATAGGCTCCTCTGACCCCCACAAAACTGCAGAACACCACAGGCAGCTTTTTCAGGCAAACTGTTCCCCACAGAGGAATGGTGGGCCCACTCCTGTGCAGGGCAAGTATCGTGCAAGACTCCATGGACTGTCCATGTTGACTCACTTCATAAAATACCCAGAACTAACCCAAGGCCCTCTGCCTTGATTCAAAGGATCTTCTATTTGAAAGAAATTTCCTGTTTGTTTGTTTTTTTTTTTGTACCAAGACTTGAGCTCAGGGTCTTGCACTTGTCAGGCAGGTGCTGTGCTCTGAACTATATCCCTGGCTCCTAGTTTTTGTTTTTTTTTTTTTTGCTACCAGGAATCAAACTCAGGCCCTTGTTCTTGTGAAACAGGCTGTGGAACCGCTGAGCCAAATCCCCGGCCCTCATAGGTTTTTTGATGCTTGAAATTTCTTTAAATGGTTAAAAGAAATTTTTGGTTCTAAAATTAGCAATATGAAGTTTAACACATAAAGGCCTGCCTCAGTGAATACTTCAGTATTCTAAATGTAACAGATAGATCCTGTGGTGTTTTTGATGAATGGTATTGAAGACTTGAAGATTGTGCCATTGGTAGGCAGGTGAAATCCTTCCAGAACAAGAGAAACTTCTACTATATGGCAGATTTGTCTAGAGTGGGCTCTATTTGAATGAATCTTTTTTTTCCCCCCATTGGTACCAGGGATCAAACTTAGTATCTTGTGCTTGTGAGGCAGGCACAGTGCCATTGAGTTAAATCCCTGGATGTTAATGAATCTTTGTTGGAAAAGCCTACAGATACATTTCATAAATGACATTTTTATCTTTGAAGGCTGTGAGCACTGGTAACTTTGATTTTTATAGCATTTATTTTTTGTTGGGAGAAACTTTTGAAAGTAGCTTGTTTGGAAAAAAAGTACAGATTATATATTTTTACTAGGGCATGTATATACTGAATTCACTTAAATAAAATACTTGCTGAGTACTAAGAATGTACCTTGTGGAGCTGGGGATTTAGTTCAGTGGTGCCTTGCAAGCACAAGGTTCTGAGTTCGATTCCTGTACCAAAAAGGAAAAAAAAAAAGAATGTACCTTGTGTTCAAGATATTATAAGCTCAGCTACTTTAAGGATCCCTCTAGAGAAAATAAGAGTGCAGAGATACAAAGCCTGAAGTTGCCAGTGGTCAGAAAACATGACAGTAAGAGTGAAAAAGAGATTCTTGCTAATAGGCAGTTTAAGGAGGCTTCCCTGAGGAATTAGCATTTGCACAGGGGCCTAAAAAATGATGATGTGATGAGAACTTGCTATGCAGAAGGAGTAGCACATATAAAAATGTGACAGTATGAAATGTCACCTGTTCATAAATCCATAGAACAAAAAATTGGGGAAATGATGGGAAAGGTGGCAGGTAGGCGTGAAGAACCTTGTGTGTTTGACTCAGGAGTTGGGATTTTATGGCAGGGGACATCATTAAAATATTTTGTCAGTGTATGGATGACCTAGTTTAAGAAAAATAGCTTTGTTGGTGGCAGATGAGGTGGATTGGAGACCAGTCAAGACACTTGCAGTGGCCTGCTTGGAGGCTTGAGTTGGAGCAATGATGAAGAGTTAGAGGGCAGTAGATTTTGAAGAGATGTAGAAGGAAAAAGATGGGATTTGAGAGATTAGATGGTGGTTGATGATAGATGGAGAGAAATTATAGATAATTGGATCCTAGCTGGGGTTACTGCAAGGATTGTGTACTGAAAGTATTCCTAATTGTGAAAAGGAATATGGAATGAGCAGATGGGAAGGGTAATTTATTTTTATAAATGTTAAATTTGACTTATCTTTTGGCTAACCCAGTATAGACACTAAATGAGAAGTTGGAAATGCAGAGCCCAGAAGAGAACTCAGTCTAACGTACGGTTTTGAAAGGGTTCCTCTTTTAGGTAAAAAATGAGTGAAATGGCCTGGGGGAGCACATTAAGTGATAAGGAAAGGGACAGACAACTGATCCTAAACTTGAGTGAACAATCAGGGATAAATATCAAAAGAAGAACTATGAAAAAAAAAAACCAAACGCTTCTCCCTCCACCCCCTAACAAAGGTCAGAGGAGTAGAAATAAGTAGGAGAAACCGATGTCTTAGAAGGCATTGGAGAAGTGTCCCAAGAGAATCTCAGGGGCAGTTTTGCACAGTGGTGAACAAAGGCGAGCATGACCAAGGCCTTTGGGTGGGAGGTGTAGCCTTTAATGACTGGGGGCTGTGACAGCTGCACTGAGGTGGAAGCCAGGTTACAATGCACGGAGAACACTCCCAAGAGAGGGAAAGAGGATGACAGGATGCCTGGGTCTCAGGACACTTTCTTTTTTTCTTTTTAAGTATAGCTGAGAGTGGATGAGCTAGGAGAAGGGAAAGATTAATAATCTGTTGGTAAGAAGGTAATTCTAATTTTGGAACAAAATGTTGAAAAATATATCTTGTTTCAAGAGTATAGTTAAAAATCACCTTTTAAATAACTGACACAATATTCCTAAAATCAATGTTAGTACCCCCTGAGCTGGCCTTCCCCTAATCTTTTTCAAAATTTAAAAAAGCACATTAAGTAGTAACAGTTGCTTAGAAGAAATAAATAGATGAAGGATGGAGATCTCAGCTTCCTGGCTACTAAAAACGGTCACTTCCTCAGAACCTCATTTTGGAGTAAGGGGGTGAGAGATGAATTGGATTTTTTGCTTGAATGAATTTTATGTGCATCTCATTTAGCTTTATTTATCTAAAGTATGATCTTTAATAAAATATGAAAGAAAGGTTGATGCTTCAGAATATCTCTTATAGATCCTTTATTATTGACTTTTTGATAATAACGCTGTTTAAAATTGCCCTAAATTCATACTGAAAATCTGGGGTGTTGTCAGTGGTAAGATTGGGTGGACATTTGTTGTAGCTCATTTTTTTTGGTAATGGGGATCGAACTCGGGTCCTTGCTCTTGTGAGGCAGGTGGTGGAACCACTGAGCTAAATCCCCAGCCCTGTTGTAGCTCTTTCTAAAAAGTGACAATTGCATAGCACAGATAGATATTCTTCAGGAATATGTGAGAGGGAACCTACCAGGATCTTTAGGACTTTGTAAGCTGAACTATTTTAATGAACTGAGGGAGGGCACTGTAAATTAAGGATTATGCACAAGAAGGTTATAGGTAGATTCAGAGGGCTTGCGAATATTTGATTTCTCCTTTTGCTTTATACCTAAAAGACCTGACTTTCAGGGAAAGTTAAATAATTAGGAAAGAGAAAAACAAGAGTCAAACTCTGAAGTGAGTAAATCTACCATGATACAGTATAGTATAAATCATTTACTTTGTGATACGAAATACTACTTTGAAATTGCAGGAGCTATTCAGCTCTTAGTTTTTTCTTCAGAATTACTCATATATGAGTTGTTTAAAAGTGAGAATAGGCAGGGATATAGCTCAGTGATAGAGCACTCACCTAGCTTCAGTAACAACAAAACATATCAGTAACAATAACAAAGAGTGGAATAGTTGCAGCCTTATTCTCCAACCCAATTTGGAATTAATCTCTGTCACAGGAAGGAAATATCAGTGACCTGTTCTTTTTCTTTTTTTTCTTTTGATGGCATCTCATAGCTTACCTTCCTATACTCCATTTAGAGTATTTACTTTTCTGGATTGATGCAAGTGCTGCCAAGGCCTGGCTTAATGGACTGAGACACCCCAGGTGCTGTAGTGGAAGTGGCTTGCTGTCCAGTTCCACTCACATGAGGAGTGGAGAACCTGCTGTGGCCTTGATCCTGTTCCCACTCTTGGTGCTGCCTCCTGACACCTCTGTCAATAAAAAGAATGTTGGGAAAGAAGACTTTCTTCAAACATTGTCTGTTAGGTACTTATTATATCCCAGGCATAATTTTCTATGCTTTGAATTTAACAGCAAACAAGACAAGATCTCTACATTCAAGCAGGGAGGGTTAGATAATAAATAAGTAAAAAAATTGATCAGGTAATTTTAGATATTCATAAATGCTATAAAAACATCAGGTAGGAGAAAGGATAGACTGTGATTGAGTGGTAGGGGTGGGCTACTTCATGCATAGTATCAGGGAAGATTTTCTGAGGAAATAATATCTGGGTCTTCAAGTAAAGATCAGAACAATAAAAAATAAATCAGTAAAAGGTCAATTCTGTATAGGTCTAGGGGAGGCAGAAGAAGCACAGAGAGTATTAAGCCAGGATCCAAAGGCAGGAGTGAACGTGGCAAGTAGTTAAAGCCACAGCTTCTTTTATAAGACTCCCTTATAAAAGACCAGGCTCCCTTCTCAGAGGTCTGCAGGAGGAATTGCTGCTGGGCATGAGTCTGTTTTCACAGTAGGTTTTAGACATCCCCAATATCCCTCCAACAAAGGTGGTTCTGGGCCAATACTTCATTGTATTTTATATATGAAGAGTCATAACAGCCCTCTCAAACTAAAGATGGAGGATCCCTCACCAGAAAATAGAAAGAAACCGTACATCGTATCTCCATTTGTTTTAAATCCCGTATACTTTTCCTTACAGTGTCTGCTGCACAGAGCTTTACACCCCCAGGAGCCTCTACCCCCAATCCAGCAGCATATTTTGAATATGCTGGATCCCCCAACTGAGGTGACAGCAAAATGTCAGATTCCTCTCTCCCAAATAAAGACCCTTTTCCCTCTGACTGAAGCCATCAAGAGAAAAGATCAAGTAACTGCTCAGGACATTTTCCAAGACAAGTAAGTACTAGGTGTAGTTGCATTTAAGATTTGCAGAAGCCGTGGAGGGGCTTTGGAGTTAAAGGCATTGCCCTGGGGCTTGTGGAATTACAAAGGTAGAGGAAGAAGCCTTTTGATGTTTGACTCTTGCATTGAAATACTGATTTTTCTCATATATGTCCGTAAGTCATATTTTATCCTTGGTGTTCACTTGAGATTTGGGATTCCCTTCTGGGTCGTTGGCTTTTGGGTCAGGATCAAATTCTTGGTGAATTATACCTAGGGAGGTTAAACAAAATTTTTGAATAGGACTAAATTTTATCATTTTTAAAGTGAGGAAGTGGGGTTGGGAGGAGTGAGTTGAAGGTTGTGAGGTTCTTTTGGTGGAGAGGTTAAGTGTCCGTGAGATTTTTGGAGAAAAAGTAGGAAGGAGAATGAAAAAAATCTAACCCTTCTTTATTTACTCTATTAGTATGTTAGTGATGTACTTGCTTGTGCTATTAGGGAAGTATTATGCCATTAGGGAGGCACTGCAAAATGCTTTTCGTATGATCTTTCAATCAAGCTTACAAGTGGCTATTAAGGTTTTTTCCTCATCAAATTCTGTTCAGAATTTGTATTACTTTCCATTCAAACAAAACAAAAATAAGATAGGAGAAATTGTTTTTGAATATCTAGAATCATTTTAGGTATGTAACATTGATTTTACGAGATTTTGGTCAATTGTTTTTTTTTTTTTTCTCGAACCAGCATAATCTGTTCACTTCTTGCTGCCCTTGAGATCTAGCTTTAGATCATTATTATTTTTTTAAAAATTTTCTTCCCTTAGCTGTGTCTTCATAGACAAAGTAAAGGGATACTATAAAATAACTCCAGTGAAAGAATATTGAATAATTTCCAGAAACTTTCTCTAGTTTCTATAAATCTTTGCTGGAAGTATCATCCAAGTTGAATAGAAAGATTTGTGTATTTTGTGGCTTTCCAGAAGTTAACACCCTAAGCTTTGTCAGAATTGGGAAAAAAAAAATTCGTGCACTTGGCCAGGTGTGGTTAGGATGCCTGTGATCCCAGCAATTGGGAGGCTGAGGCAGGAGCATTGCCACGAGTTGAGGCTACATAGGGAGATCCTGTCTCAAAAAACACAAAAATCATGCACTCAATAGATTCTATCATGTACATTCCTGATACATCCTTGGAGATATTTACAGCTCTCTTTAGTGTATTTTGCCTTCCGCACAGGAAGACTGTCCCTAAAAATCTACTTTCCCTCCACTGTCCTCACCTAGCTGTATGTCTCTGGATCTGTAGTTCAGAGCAGCTCCACATAAGTTTGCAGCCTTTTCTTCCCTTGACGCCTTGCTGTAGGCTCACTGCAATCACCAGTCTATTCTCTGTATTAAAGCTCCAGTTCATGGTCTTGATTACCTTCTGATGTTGTGGGAAAGAAGCAGGCCATTTTCTCTTCTTCTTTTGATTAAAATGTAAATTAGCTGGTTAAAAAACACACCACAGAGACCCAGAAGGCTGTTGTTCTGTGATTTGATCCTTGCTGTGATTGCACCTTCAGCTGTAGTCCTATCTTTCACTCTTCTGGGAGCTTCTGTATGCTGGGCTTCCATAATGGTGTGCGAAAGAGCCGAGTTATCTGCCTGGGGCCTGGAAATTATCAGTCATAGACACCTACTCACTCTCCTATTCTGCCCTTATTTCTAAGTATTAGGTTTTAAGAACTGCAAAAATGATGCATTTAGCATATATTTATCACGTACCTCATACATTGAAGAAAAGTGATTCAGCCCCTTCACAGTTCTTAAAATCCTCCATTTTTTATGAGAAGGCTCCAATCAGCTTTAGAGATAATTTTCCTAAGGGGGAAAAGGTTGTTGTTGCTGAGCTATATCGTATATAACTATATAGCTATATATATATATATTATATATGTATATATATATTTCTTTTCTTTTTTTTCCTTACCCATCATCCCTGTACCTAGGGTACATATTTCCTGGAGTGGGGTGGAAGAACTAAGATTGGGGAAAGGCAATGTCCAATACTAAGATAACACTAAGCTGTGTTTTTTTATTTTGGTACCAGGGAGCAAACTCAAGACCTTGCGCGTGTGAAGCAGACACTGTGCCACTGGGCTAAATCCCCAGCCCTCAGCTGTGTTTTTGTAGATTTTTATCATCCTTGTATCCAGAGTACATATTTCCAGTGGAGGAGAGTGGACCGGGGAGTGGCATATGTTTACAAAGAAAATTTCATAGTCAAAGACAAAAGTCCTGAGGGTGGGACTCATTTTTATTCTAGCTTTGTTACTGAATTTGGTTAAATAATTTTACCTTTATGAGCTTTGCTCATAAAAACAGCCTTACCTCAAGAGATACAACAGTGAAATCACATATATTAAATCAGTCTGTTTGAAGGAAAGGCAATAGTCAAAACCCACACAGTTGTATCATTATCAGTGAAAAATGAACATCTGAGAAGGTCTGATACACATCTTGGACTTGGTGAATACCTAATTTTTTTGGTGTCAGGGATCAAACTGGGGTCCTCCCACTTGCAAGGCAGGCGGTGGAACCACTGAGCTAAATCCCTGGCCCCCTTGAATACCTAATGTTAAAAGTAATTTCTTGGGCAGGGGATTTAGCTCAGTGGTTCCACCGCTTGCCTTGCAAGCACAAAGACCTGAGTTTGATCCCCAGTACCAAAAAAAAAAAAAAAAGTGATTTCTTTATTTCAAGAGATAAAGAGCATCATTTGATACTTTACCATGTACTAAATATTCCTCATATCACATCAATGCATTACTTCGTATAATGTTGACATACACTTTGAAAGGAATATGTCAGAATTAAGACACCTGTGGTTTAATCCTGTATGTGCAAATGATGAGAGTTGTGAGTAAAAAATTTTAAAAATCCTAATTATGTCCTCAGTACATTAATAACAATGATGACAATGATAATAACAGCAGAAATGTTTTCATAGAGAACCCAGAGACAAAGATAGTAATACCTCAGTTTTCTGGCCCATCTTATCTAAAAGCATATCTGTTTTACATCTGTCTTTAGTTCTTTCCTGTCTAAGTGGTGTAGGGCCCCTCATCCTGTCTGAAGTTCATCCCTTCACCTGTGCCCTGAGCTCCCTGTCTCATCTGGTACCTTAGTCCATTAAGAAAGGCTTCTGTCTTTCTGTATTTTCTGCTTTCTCTTTTATCAGCTCCGTGCCTTATCTAAGACAAAATAAAATAATCTCCCCAGCTTTTCCTTCTCACTACTGCCTGGTGCTAATTAGTAATCTAATTATCTTTCCTTCCACAAGCCAGGCTTATGAGGAGAAAAGTCCACAGTGCTGCCTCTCTTGGCTTTCATTCTCCCCTGCCCGCACCACCTCTCAGAAACGGGTCTTCCAAGACATTCACTGCTCAATTCCTTTCAGCTTTGCAACCCTTTTCTTTTATGACCTCTTTCTTTGTAGCACTTGACCTTGTCAGGTAGTCTTTCCCTGTTGACAGCCACATATCTTCCTTAACTTCAGATGGTACTATCTCAGAATGGGGCTGCATTTCCTTCCCTGCTGACCTTAAGTGTTGATATTCTGTAGGACTTGTCCTCAGACAAGCTTACATTTATTGAACACAGGTATAATGCTGAGAGCTTTACTTGCATTTGTACTGACACCACTTTAAAGCTGAGGAGACTGAGGATTAGGAAAGATGAGATCCCAGTTAGCAAATGTTGGAGCAAGGATTTAAATGCAGTCAGTTTGACTCCAGAGCTTATACTCTTAGCTGTAATTTCATTTTGCCTTAGTGATACATGTCCCAGGATCTTTTATTATTGCACATACAGAGCTTCAAAAACCATTGAATATCTCTCTGCAGCCTAGATTTTTCATCCTAGCTTCTAGAGTTACTTCAAGCTTAGCATGTCCAGAAATATACCTGCATGGTCTTTTTCCGTACCCCCTTTAAAGCTTGCTTAAAGCTGATACAATCTATTTCAGTGAACAACACCTGATTTCCTGGAGGTTATCTCTGTAACTTCTATATCTAATTGGTCTGCCAAGCTATATTAAATTCACCTCAAATCCACTTTTTTCACTTCAGGTCAATATGGTGGCTGTTGATTTTGGAGTCAGATTTGGATCTAAACCAAAACATTTCTCTTTAAAGTGGTTAAAATTGGCAAGTTACTTTTATTGCCAATGGCAGTAACAAATACCTGCCTTTGATGACCCTTTATCTGCTCATCTATAAAAGGACAGTGATAATAGCTAACTCATGGGGTTGTTGTAAAGTTTAACTGAGATAGTTGAAACGTGCCTAGATAGTGACTAGCACGTTAGCTCTTACTAGCATTGCCCCCTTGTATTTTATGTATTTTATGTATGCTTCCTTGTTTTAGCCTGCTTCACTAAGATAAATAACTGCATAACTAATTTGTCTCTTTCTAGTCTATTCTGCTGAGTTGTTTATTTTCATGTTTGTCAGTTTATTATGAAATTGCAAAGGAGATGCATAGGATAAGGTGTGCAGAAAGGGCCACAGATCTTCCATTGCCTTCTCCGTGAGTGCTGCTCTCCAGAAAGCTCCGTGTGTTTAGATGTCCAGAAGCTGTCTGAACCCTATCCATTGAGTTTTTCTGGGGAATTCACAACATATGGGTGACTGATTAAACCAGTAGTCACTGGTGTTCAATTTAATTTTAGCCTCTCCTCCCTAGAGGTAGGAGACAGGACTAAAATCCTGCCTTGGTCTTTCTGGTGACCAGCATCTGCCTCCCCTGCCACTCTACCTGTTCTGAAGCTTCCTAGACCAGTCAGCTAACTTGACTTGATTGTTTTGGAAGTGATAGGGATTGAACCCAGGGTTTTGTGCAACCTATGCCAAGTGATTTTTTTTTTTTCCTTTCTTCTTCTTTTTTAATCTGAACACATCATTCTTGCTTAAAATTCCCTAATAGCATGATTCTTAATCTTTTTCCTCTTGATGGACTCATATGATATAAAAACTATAGACTCTCTCCCCAAAAAGATGTCATTACATACCAAGTTTTGAATATATTTTCACATAGTTCACAGACTCTTAGACTGCTAATTTTAAAACCCCTGCTTTAAATGACTTCCCATTACCATCAGCATAAGATCATCCGACTCTGTTACACAAATGAGAAAACCCAAATAAGCAGAAAGAATAAAAAATCCAGCTACTTAGAGAAAACCATTTTTCCCTCCCTTTGGGAGTAGGGCTTTTGGAGATTGAACTCCAGAGCCTCATGCATGCTAAAAGTGTGGTCAACTGCTGAGCTACATCCCAGCCCTTCCTCACATTTTTTATACCCGTGATTTATATATTTTCTAACCTCAGTTCTCATTACTTCCCAGGTTACACCTCATATTATAGCCCTATACAACTGCTTGCTACTTACAAAAGATAAGCTGCTCATCACAGTATTTTAGTGTCTGCTTACGTATTTTTTTACTTGTCTGAACTTCTTGACAGTGATGTATATCAATTTTTGTATGATGAGAGTTTAGAATGTAGCTTAATGTTTGACACATAGTAAATATTCACTCAATGCTTGGCCAAATAAGTGAATTACAAAATTTATACATATTTGTGAAAGATAATAAGGAAAAAAGGAACAGATTACTTATCATCATCCAAATGCAGCAACTGTTAACATTTGTACGTCTGTGATTTTGTATGGATACTTTCTATTTTTTTTTGTTCTTTTTTAAACATAATTCTATTTTGGGCAGTATATTAATACAATCCAACAGCATCTGTGTGCTAACAGAAGACAACTCCAAGAAAGTTTATCAAACATCTTGCCTCAAGTAATATACTGGCTTCAAAGTGTGCCTTTGAGGCAAGATGAGGAAAAGTTAACTGCAAAGAAAAAGAAAATCCAATCCGAAGGTTCTGCCATGATTTCCCATACACCACAGAACAGAAAGATATAACGATTTTTCTCCCTGAAAAATAATCACTCTAAGACAAAATCAATCATTAAGAAATGGCTGAATGAGGCCAGAGATTAAGCTCAGTGCTTCTGCCCCCTGCCTCACAAGCACAAGGTCCAGAGTTCATTCCCTGGTACTTAAAAAAAAAGAAAAGAAAAGAAAAGAAATGGCTGAATGAAATGAGTAAGAAATTAGTAACTATGATCCAGTATTTCTTTTTTAAATAACTAATTTTAACTGATAAATAAAACTGTATTATGTATAAAATGATATTTTGAAAGATGTAGGATGGCTGTGTTACCTCAAACTTGTCTTTTGTGGTAAGAATAGTTACAATCTACTCTCTTAGTGATTTTTAACACTAGTTTTCTGTGTTTAGTTCAAAACCTCAACGTTAAGATGAGTTTTGAAGACGAGGTTGTCTTAGAAACAAAGCAAAGAAAAAATAAAGCAGAAGTTGGCTCCCTGGATGGTGTTTCAAAGGCAAATCTCCTCTCATGGGTAGGCAAAAGAATAAAGTCATCGCCCCAAGCATCACAGCCATTTGCATGTGAACAGAAAGTTCTATCACTTGACATCTTTTTCATTTACCAGTGACCTTTTCCCTCTAAGCAGTACAGAGGAGGGTAGCAGAAGACAGGATAGGGACCAGGAAACATGAGGGGTAAGTCATCCAGAGTTCTTTGCTTGCAAGTAAAATGATGGCAACAAGGGAAGAAAAATGCATAAACCCAGGAAGAATAAAATTCCACGAGAAGTTGAATCCATTAAAAAAAAGAAAATGACCACAGCCAGCCAGTTTGGTTAACCTTTGCCAGTTCTTTCCATGAGAAAGACACTAGGGTAAGAAAAAAGACCAGGATTATAGCTTCTGTTTGCCACTGACTAGCCCCGGAATCTTTACTTTCCTGGAGGTGTTCACTCCACATTATTTCTGTACACCCAGAGTTTAGATTTCAGTAAGCTCTTATCTTGTTGAGCTTCAGTTTGCTCCTCAGAGGAACGCATGGTAAAAAGTATCATTAGAATTGAGAGTGTTTGGGCCGGGAATTTAGCTCAGTGGTTCGGTGGCCTGCCTTGCAAGTGCAAGGACTCAAGTTCAATCCCTGGTACCAAAAAAAAAAGAATTGAGAGTGTGAAATAGGAAGAAAATGGCTAAAGGTAATGTAGGAAGGGGAGGCGAAAGGAAATAAGGGAAAGGAAAACATGAAAAAAATGAAAAAATGGAAATAAAGTCTTTGTAAACAGGTAAGGGTGAAGTGGGTGGAGGGAGGGCAAGGGTATGGAGAAAAAAACAAGAACCAAGATATATCATGTAAAGGTACAAGAACCCAATGATAAATGTAACCGTATTGTTTGTTTTCAATACACCAATAAATTTAATGGGGGGAAAAAAAGTATATTAGTTTATCAACTAATTCTTCCAAAAATACTAATTAATTTATATAGTAATATTAAGAAGCACTTTATACACAAAGCCCTAGGTTAAGTCCTACAGAAACATATGGCTGAATCACATGAAGAATTTCTTAACCTCTCCAAAGATTCTAAAAGGGAAGGGTAAAGAGACTTACAGTGGTACCTTGGTTCACAAACTTAATTCTTTCCATGATTCTAGTCACAGAATTTGTTCCACAGTTCTGTTTGTCGGCATAGATCACTGCGTTCAGAATCGTGAAAAAAATTAAGTTTGTAAACTGAGGTTACCACTGTATATACAAATTGCAAATACCAGGCAGATAAAAATAGCCCCAGAAAATAAGGAGAAAGTAGTGAAACTTTACTATGATTAACAGTCTCATGGTAAAATCATTTAATAGTATCATTAGAAATTTTGCATATATTACACTCATAATATCTGTGCGAGGCAGGAAAGGGCACTGACTCTCATCCAAAAAAAAAAAAAAAAAAA